GTGAGCTACCTGTGGCTGGCAGTGAAGCAGCGGAGCAGATCCTGGAATATTGGAACGCGCTGTGGGTGGCAGAGTCCCGGCAGAACGACCCGCGCCCAGAGACCTGGCAGGCCGAGTGGAAGGTGAACCCAATTTTGGTGGAGGCCTTCCTGGGTGTGCTGCCGTCCTTCCCGAGCAGGGCGGCGCTTGGCTGGGGCTCGCTACATCCTCGCTCTTTCGAGAAGATGCCCAGGGTGATCATCCAGAGAGCAGTCGATATCCTCGACAGATTGGAGCAGCCGCAAGAGGTGTCGCCCATGCTGGCGATCATCCATGTTTTCTTGCCGAAGCCGACGGGTGGCGCGCGCCCGATCGGCCTGACGTGCACGTTGGCACGCTAATGGGGCAGGATCCGCCAGCGAGAGGTTTGAACATTGGAGGAAGGCATAGATGCTTCATGGTTCTGGGGGAAGGACACAGCGACAGCAGCACGCCGAGCCAGCTACATACACAACCTGCTTATGTGCTATGCCAGGGCGAAAGATCTAACCTCGGTAACCACTTTTTTTCTGACACTGCTAAGTTCTACGATAACATTGCGCGCGCGAGCCATTTCGTATAGCAACCGCGCACTTCTCGTTCGACATTGGCCTCCTTCGTGCGCTATGCGTGCTATACAGGTGACCCAGGCATGCACGGTGGGGGGCCTCACTCAGCGGCCCCACGGAGGCCAGCGGCACCATCGTGGCAGGACGCAGCTATGCGACGGGGATTTCCAACTTGATGATGCTGGCGCTGCTCAGGGACAGAGCCACCCCGATCTCTCTCTGCCGCAACATCAACCTCATAGATGGCCTCCCCTCGCACGTGGTAGGCGGGCCCTCCACCTCGGCCAGGCACTCCATCCAGGCTCGCAAGAGGGTTACCCAGTACATGGCCCAGGTTCACCTCTCCGTCAATTGGGGCAAGACCAGGCTCATGACCTCCAACCCAGAGGCCCTGAAGGCGCTGCTGAAGCACCCCAGCTGGAATATGAGCAGGGGCCAGTATGTGGAGGCTCACAAGGGGCCTTGGAGGGGACTCCAGCAACGGGAAACAGCGCAGGCTCCACAGTGTGCTCCTGAGGACTGCCGAGGCCAAGAAGATGACCAGCAATTTATCTCGTCTGGGCACGGGGGCGGTGGTTTCAAGGGTATTCAGAAAAATGGGCCGCTGGCAAAGGCCATCTGGGGATCGTCTATCAACGGCCTCGCGGACGCGACCATCGGGCAGCTTCGGGTTCAGGTGGCCAAAGCAGCTGGGCCCCTCCATCCAGGATGTGCTCTTGCTTTTCGTGTCCTGCTCGACCCCTTCTTGGCCAGGAAGGACCCCTCGAGATCGCCGCGGCCCAAGTGGCCAAGGACTTCGCGGTTGTGATTTGGAACCGCCTGGTGTCTTGGGATGTGATCCTGGTGGACTACCAAGACGGCCTCGAGGTGCTTCGCCCTCGCAATCGTTGGCTCAAGGTGAAGCACCCCGTCGCAGCATTGATGGCCAGCCTCGACAGGACAGGTTGGAGTTTCGATTTCCATGTTGTTGTTGGGGTTGACGGCCAGACCTATGGGCCCCCCAACCGCCACCTCCGGTACCAGAAACGGCAGGGTGGAAGCAATTGACAAAGACCGAGCGCCTATCGAGACCACAAGGAGGATGAGGCAGGGCGGCCAAAGAAAACAAACCCATATGCAGACGATGGATGAAGGGTGTACTAATCGGTGCACAGGGGCCAAAACCCTCACCCTCTGGGCAGTAATCACTCTAGCGGATGTAAAAAAAACAACATGGACCCCCAAGAAGGGCGGCCAGCCTGAACGGTCATAATTTCGGTATGTAAGCCGTGGCACGTAGGCCGGCCCAGCCTCAGCACGTAGGCTGCGGCCTTGTGGACACAATGACCGAACATACCTGGAATAACATCCGTGGTCACAATCGCCCCCAAGGTCTCATGGATAGACGCGTGCAGATAAACGCAACTCAGAGCCCACTGAAGCCAAGAAAAAAAAAAACAAGCCCGATAAAAGGACGCCCCGCCCAGGAGGGGGGAGTGAACCGTTGCGAGACAGCCCTGGGAACTCCGTGCCACGGGGAGGGCAGGAAAGAGGAGGGAGGGAGGAGGAGGAGGGGGGGGGGGACAGGGAGGAGGATGAGGAGGAGGGGCACAGGGGCGAGCCCAGACCCCGGCCACGCTACGGCTAACACCCCCCAGGGAAAGGACTCCCAGGAGAGGAGTGAAATTCTAGAGTGTTGTCCTGGACTATCCGGGTAACCCCTACGAGACGCCAAGAAGAGTGGCGGCCACGAAGGATCAGGAAGCCAGGAAACGAGACAAGTACAGAGCCCAAGAAGAGGTCGCGCGGTGATCAGGCGCTGCCCCCGGAGCCCAAAGAGGGAGGGAGGATCCCGAGGGAATCCCAACGGCCTCTCCTGGAACTCTGGGGTGTTGCACGTTCCCGCCCCGCCAGGAAGGAGCCAGGGAAAAACCAGGAAGAAGGGCCTCCCCCCGAAGAGGGAATGGGTTTGCCACCCCATGTTGAGAGCGTAAGAAAACATAATAGGAACCAAAGATCACCCAAAGAAAACCCATGATAGAGAAACCAATTAGGCAGAGATAGCCATGGTAAAGCGCTGGTGTATGATCTTGGTCGCTCATGGTCCATCCCGAGATTCTCGACACAGTTCTTTGCTGGGCAGATCCGCGAGGGAGTCAGGGGGATTCACGAACAGAGATGAACATAACAGGCAGAGTGAGTTTCAAGCGTGGAAAGGAGATATTTTCTGGTGGTCGATCAGAAAGCTGTTGAACCAGACCTCACCATATACTTGGTATGGACAGCACAAGCAGACGTTGAAAAGGAGTGATCTCTATCATCTACTGGACTCAGACCAGGGTGGCACTGCGCGCGAGAGACATTGATGCGACATGTCGTTTGTGCCAGGGTGCTCGAGTGACATTGTGCCACGGGAGATTTTGTTGCTCAGGATATCGCGCGTGGAGGCGCGATCATCTGGGGCACCATCTACGCCAGGCTGCCCAGAACATGAGAGAAATGTCGGAGGAGGCGGGGGAGCTCTTCGCGCGCAGCATCTTCCCAGACACGAGTGCTTGGTTTGGACGGCCTCCTCGAGAACCCAAAGGGACCTACCTACACTCGATGAACTGGCCCAGCGACGGGATCCTAGTTGTCAAGAGCTGCTGGACGGTCTTCACGGGTGGGTCATGCTACGAGATGAGCTGCCCGGGGCTCCGAGTGGCAGGCTAGTCATCCTGCGTGGTCAACGAGAGTGGTGGCCTGCTCCGCGCAATTTATGGGGTCGCCGCGCTGGCCGAGGCCCCAGGCCCGAGCTCCAGGGACGGCGAGGACTTCGCTGTCAAGCAGATTGGACTGCACGCGCTGCTGGAGCCTGGAGTTGAAGCCCATGTGGACTGCAAAGCTACGGTCCTGGTCGGGAACAGGCTCCCCTATTCAGCTAACGAGAACCAGATGAGATGCCATTGTTGGTCGGAATTTTTAAAGGCCCTAGAAGGAGTTCGCTTCGTCAAAGTCGATGCTCACCAGTCCCAGAAGTCGGTCCAAGAGGGCCTCATCTCCCACCAGCAACGACAAGGCAATGCGCATGCTGATCGACTAGCCAAGCTAGGTGCTGAGCACTTTAGAGCCCGGCATGCCCAGCTGTTGGTGATCGAAGGATGTGCCTCTCTCGCCCGCGAGGCTGCTCGGCTTGCATCCTCCCAGCATGTGATGATAAGCACGGGCCAAATTGCCGACCACGACGGTCTAGAGTGGCTCACCACAGTGCCCCTCGAGGCTGTCCCAGGGCTCCCCATCCCGAGTCCCGTGCAGAAGGGGGGTTCTCCTCCCCCTCCTCCTTCACCTCCAGCTCCTGGGGGCTCTTGTGGGGAGCCTTTGGAGGCTTGGGCCTTCAGTGGACACAGGCTGTGGTGGGCAGAAGCTCGAGATGGTCGGGAGAATAAGCTCACCGACGCTCTGATGATTTGTTCGGCGTGCGGTGCCTACTCCAGATTTCGTAATAAAAGGGAGGGGGTCTCAACCCTCCCAGACGAGAAGTTTTAGACCCCCTCTGTGGGAGAACCCTCCAAAACATCGTCCCCAGACCCCCCCAGGCCCTCCAAGATAGCCTGGAAGAGACCCCCCCCCGAAATGAGACCCCCCTCCCTTGATTACGAAATCTGGAGTACGCCAGGAGGCGCGCACAAAGAGCCATCCAGGGGGGCATCCATGGCCCTTGTGACGGCAGGCCCAGCAGGGGCCTCTGCGAGCATGCTGAAATTATTTTGGCAGGGCAAGTTTCCGAGATATGGGGACAGCCGGGTCGTTCGCAAAGCGGCCCCCCCCCTCGCTCAGCGTCCGACAGGAGTGGTCCAGGGCCCTGGCCTCCCCCCGCGGACGTCCCTGCCCCGCCCTCGGTCCAGGTTCCTCGGGACGCCCAGGGTTCCAGGAGCCTGGACGCTGAGCGAGGGCTGAAGCTTTCCGGGCTCTCGTGGGAGGAGGCGGCCTCGCTGGGCCAGGCCGCACGAGGCGCGAAGGCGGCAGCAGCGGCGGCCAAGACCAGAGGTCTGTAGAGCCCCTGCCCACGACGCCGTCCTTGATCTCTGCTCTCTAGCATGATTTCAAGGAGTTGGGGTCGCCCCCCCTTTTCCTTGCATGTACTGGGGTCGCCCCACTTAACAGCTCAAATCTGGACCTCCTCTTCCTCCTCCTCTTCCGCCTCCTCCTCCTCCTCCTCCTCCTCGTCCTTCCCCTCCTCCTCCTCGTCCTCGTCCTCGTCCTTCGCCTCCTCCTCCCCCTCCTCCTCCTCATCCTTCTCGTCCTCTCCTCCTCTCCTCTTCCACTTCTCCTTTCGCCTCCTTGTGCTGCGTATCCCCGTGCGGCTCCTGCTCTGGCGTTTTTTCCCCTCTCTCCTCTCCTCATCCTTGTCCTTCTCCTGTCCTCTCCGTCCTCCGCCTCGAAGCTGTGCCCCAGGGCTCTCCACCACGAGATCATTGCCACCATGAAGGACTTGCTCAAGACGCCTTTCATGTACAAAGATCAGTTTGAGCAGGCGGGTCGACGCGGGCCGCAAGACTGTTAGCTGAGGGGTAGGAGGAGGCGGAGGAAGCGGAGGAGGAAGGGGGGTGATGGAAGGGAAGAACGGCGATGGTGACAGTCACAGCGATGGATGACGGTGGCGATGCCGCTTACTGGGTTACGATGATGGCGATGTCGGCCACGACGATGCTATGTTGACGAGGTGTTTGCCGCTGGCGGTTGTGATGACGATTGTGACGGCGACGGCGACGACGATGACGACGATGATGTTGATGCCGATGACTATGATGATGGCGATGATGGGTTATGATGACTGTGATGATGATGATGCTGACGACGGTGATGATGGTGGTGACGACTGGTGAGACCGAAGGTGGTTGAATGACTACCATCTGTCTTCGTACGGTTTCTGCAGGTTTTCGAAGGCACTTTGTCGCAGGGCTCCATGCCCCCCCCCGGGGGTGGTGTGGGGGGGTGCGGCCAGATCCTTTCTCCACATCCTGTGGATGAGGATGTTGATGAGGATGATGTTGCTGCTGATGCTGGTGCTGATGCGGCTGCTGCTGCTGCTGAAGCAGATGATGAGGATGCTGATGATGATGAAGATGATGATGCTGATGCTGATGATGATTCTAATTATGATGATGCTGATGATGCTGATGATGATGCTGATGATGATGCTAATGCTGGTGCTGCTGTTCATGATGATGATGAGTGTGATGATGATGCTGATGATGATTATGATTATGCTGATGATGATTATGATGATGCTATTGCTACTGATGATGATGCTGATGATGCTGGTGCTGATGCTGTTACTGCTGCTGCTGATGATGACTATGATGCTGAGGATGGTGGTGATGCTGATGATGCTGATGAACTTATAATGATGATAATGATGACGGTTATGTGGCGATGATGATTGTGGTGGTACTGTTGCTGATGATGGTGAAGCTGCTGCTGCTGATGCTGCTGATGTTGATGCTGATGCTGATGGTGACGATGATGACGATGATGATGATGCTGATGGTGATGACGATGCTGATGAGGATGATGCTGATGATGCTGATGATGCTGATGATGACGATGATGATGTTGCTGCTGATGATGATGCTGGTGGTGTTGTTGATGATGATGTTGCTGCTGCTGATGATGCTGATGCTGTTGATGATGATGATGATGATGATGATGATGATGCTGAGTTTGATGCTGATGACGATGTTGATGCTGATGCTGATGCTGATGCTGATGGGATGCTGTTGATACCGATGTTGATGGTTGAGATGGTAATGTTGATGATGATGATGCTGATGTGGTGATGATGATGCTGTTGCTGCTGCTGCTGGTGAGGATGCTGATGTTGACCATGATGTTGATGATGCTTATGGTGATGCTGATGATGCTGATGGTGACGATGATTATGCTGCTGATGATCATGATGCTAAGCTTGATGTTTATTTATCATTATGGTGAGGACGATGCTGTCGATGGTGACGATGATGACGATTATGCGGCGATGATTTTTGTGGTGGTGCTGTTGCTGATGATGGTGAAACTGCTGCTGCTAGTGCTGCTGATGTTGATGCTGATGCTGATGATGACGATGCTGATGCCGATGATGATGATGATGATGCTGATGGTGATGCTGATGCTGCTGACGATGATGATGATGCTGATGATGGTGATGCTGATGATGCTGCTGCTGATGATGATGATGTTGCTGCTGATGATGATGCTGGTGGTGTTGTTCATGATGATGCTGCTGCTGCTGATGATGCTGATGCTGTTGATGATGATGATGCTGCCTTGGATGCTGATGACGATGTTGTTGCTGATGCTGATGCTGATGCTGATGTGGATGGGATGCTCTTGATACCGATGTTGATGATTGAAATTGAAAGAGTGTGTTCTACCGCTGCTGGCGGAAAACGGGGGGGGTTCACTACCGGTTCGAACCCCTACACCCCCCCCCTCCGGAAAACCAGGGGGGGTCACTACTGGTTCGAACCCCTGCCCACCCCCCAGTTCATCATGAAAAGGGGGGGGGTCACTACCGGTTCGAACCCCTCCCCCCCCCCCCTCGAATTCGAAAACCGGGGTGGGTCACTACCAGTTCGAAACCCCCCCCCCCTCGAAAACCGAGGGGGGGTGCGGACAGTGTTGGGGACGGTGGTGGTGGGGACAGTGGTGAGGGGACAGCGGGACAGTGGTGGGGACAGTGGGACAGTGGTGGGGACGGTAGTGGTGGGGACAATGGTGAGGACAAAGGTGGGAACAGTGGGGACTGTGACAGTGGTGGGGACGGTGGTGGTGGGGACTGGTGTGGGGGCAGTGGGAATGTGGTGGAAACAGTAGGACAGTGGAGAGTACAGTGGTGGTGGGGACAGTGGTGAAGGCGGTGGCGAGGACGGCGGTGGGACAATGGGACAGAGGTACAGTGGGGACAGTGGTGGGGACAGTGGGGACAGTGGTGGGAACAGTGGGACAGCTCAGTGGGACAGCGGAGGAGTCAGTGGGACAGTGGGGACAGTGGGGATAGTCGGGCAGTGGTTGGGGCCGTGGAGAAAGTTGGGAGAGTGGAACCGTGGTGGGAACAGTGGTGGGGACAGTGGGGACAGTGCGACAGTGGTGGTGGCACTGGTGGGGACAGTAGGGGCGGTGGTGGAACCAGTGGGGACAGTGGTGGTGAGTGGTGCTGGGAACAACAGTGGGGGATGTGGTGAGGACGGTGGTTGGGACCGGGAGTCGTTTGCTGGCGGTGAGAGGGCGGGGGGGGAGGGGTTCGAACCGGTAGTGACCCCCCCCCCCTCCGGTTTTTCGAGGGGGGGTGTTTCGAACCGGTAGTACCCCCCCCGGTTTTCGAGGGGGAGGGGGGGGGAGGGGAGGGGTTAGGGGAGGGGGGGGGGGTTTGCCGGGGGAGGGGGGGGGGGGGAGGGTTCCAGCAGGGGGGGGGATTTTCGGGGGGGGGGGGGGGACCCCCGGGTTCCGGAGGAAAAGGGCGG